AGTTTGGAGAAGTGCAGGTAAAAGCAATGCACACAAACATTCACTTAAGAGGAAAATGTTGGGTAGCCACTGGAGGCCCCCATGAACTAACCATGTGTGTAAATATATACATATATATATATATATATATATATATATATATATAGTAGTTTATCTGCCTACCCACATATATAGATATATTTATATACAACGGGAGGAGTTTTTCTGCTGGTGCACTTCTTTTTAAATTGCCTTTTGTTCATACTAAGGATTGGCATAAGAATTTCCATTTTTCATTAATTTCTGAATGATGGATGGAGCACCCCTCAGAGAACCAACCCAGCCAAGGAGTGAGAGGAATATAGATGACTCACTGAGCAGCACAGTTATTCACTGAAATGTCCCATAAGGTTATTTTGTACAAAAATCACTGACCTTCTGGGTGTCTGCGTCAGCATAGGTCAGACCAAAGTAGTCCTTCTCCAGCAAGTTTAGGTGCTCACAGACCATGTCCATCAGGGTCTGTCCTTTTGAGTGTTTCTGTAAAGACATACATGAGTCACTTCGCAGCTGGAGACATGCCAAAACAAAGAAAACAAATGGGATGTTTTTTGTAAAGTTCAAATTGATGAAACAAACTGCCAGACACACACTTTGGACAAGTGTTCTTGACCATATTGCTTCGCCATTCTCTATTCTGAACAGACTTTAAGAGCAGTACAATGCAAGGCAACGGCCTTTGTTTGTTAAACACTTGACAGTGGAAATGGATTGTGAATTACTTGCGAGCAAATCTTTTGTACTGAGTACTGAGCAGTTTTTCCACTATTGATAGAGTTAGAGGTAAGAGTAGGTGTTTAAACTTTAACCCATTGAACCCTTTAAAACAAACTGTGATCTTGCATTTCTCTGGACATCTTTGAACACTTAAAGAGGAAACCAAACTGTGGCTAGGAGGGTTATCATCTGTGGTAAAGCCATATGACTAAAACATTAGTTGCACAATGACAACAGAACTACTGACAGCAGTGTCCACCAGTGACACAGTGAAATTTAAATTTGCCAACTTCCTGTAGTACTTAGTATAGTTCCAAAAGGTGATCTATTGGCCATTAAAGAAACATAAAGGGTGATGTCCAACAGGGCTGCAGGTTCAGCAAAGCCAACCAACCGTGGGGGCTATAGTGGGAAAAAGCAGTTAGAATCCTGAGGTGAAAGGGTAAAGGAATGGAAATGAGGACAACAAGCAGAAAGCAACCAACAAGGAGGGAAAACACAAGTCTGAACTAAAGACCAGGGACTGTATGTAGAGAGAGACCTTAACACAAATAAACACAAGCAACTACACTACACAGATTACACATAATAAGAATCAAAAGATGAGCACAGAGAAAAGAGTGAAAGGGTTGTATGCACACAAAACAGGCACAGGTGGAGCACATCAAGTAATCAGAGGAGCGGAGGAAGACAGAGGAGAGCGGATGTTAAGAGGTGAGGTTGATTACAAGACAAGAGGGACAAAGAGAAACTGACAGCAGAGACAGCCCAGGGGCTGGTGGATGTACTGAGGCTGACTGCTGGAAAAGACTGGCTGGACATGGCATAAAGATTTCTTTCAACTCAATTAAACAGAAAATACATTTTAAAAAAAGATACAGCTGAAAAATAATGAATGTTTTCTTTCTTTAGAGAGAACATTTAATAGTAGCTGCTATATTATACTTACTGCAGCCTATCTTTTACCTGCAGCCTGAAAGAACTGTCTCTTCACTCAGCTGGAGAGGCCCTTGCTTATCTGGTTTATGTACAAAAATAGGTAATTCACCTTCAACTTAAGAATGATCTTTAATGTATATTATTCATGGAACCCAATCAAATGCTCAAGATACAATTTGAGCAAAAATAAGGCCATTGTGCCACAACACCCTCAGGCCATAAACCCCCCACACTGCTGCTCAGTTTGGTACTTCACCAAACTGAAATGATTATTTCCAAGGCCGTACTCTTGTGTTCCCTGAACTGTTGTAACTTAGTACGCTTAATATTTAACAAATTATGCTGTGCTTGTTTTTCCATCTGAAAAAGTAGATTGTTATACATTTAGCTTGAACATAAAGGGAACCTTTTTACTATAACACACACACAGAGACCCAGATACTCTAATCTTTTCCTGGAGCTCAAATATGGTGACAGGAAGATGGAACAGTTGCCAGGGAAACATGTTGAGAATTACCCCTCTGCTGTCTTGTTTCTCGCATCCTAAGGGTACTGGACTTTTTGGGAACAAGTTCCACCTTTGCTTTATTGTGTTCAAATATACTGAGGAGCGACACCTGGTTTGGTTTATTTGGTCTCATTCTGGCAGAGGACCCACTTCAGCACCACCATGTTTATAAAAAAACATCATTTAGTAATTCCTGAAGGCACTTGTGGAAACAGAAATAACACAATCACAACTCTTAAACTGACTAAGGTCCTGTTTACAAGGCGACAATATGATACGACTGCGTTAGCCTCCGGAAACAAAATCTGTGTCTAAAGAGAGTCGCAGAAAACGACTAATATTTATAGTAAGTATAGTTACTCTGAAGATAATGAAGTGAATAATAATAATAATACATATACATATTAATATATACATATTTATATATTTTATATTACTGTTCATCCTGGCATACCTAAATGGTTGCAGCAAAATGACTGTGTCCACATTGGCTCGGCTTGGATTCAAATTTAAACAGATTGCACCCCAGCTGGGAGAGGGTGCAAAGTAAAGACAAGGGCGTGCTGCCTTTTATCCGTTCCAAGGACCACAGAGACGTGAGGCCATAGATCCATGACAGGAGATTTAATTACCCTGTGAATACAGCACGATCTCCAGGGATAGACGTCCATAAAACATGCCTGTACCTTCAGACGAAGCTGTTTACCAGTTTCTAGAAGCACAGAGTAGGTTCAAACAAGGTCTGACATAAAGTTTTACCTCTTCATTTAGGAACACCATATGTGGGAAAAAATACCAAAAAAAAGCACTAACAAGACAAGATGCTGCTTTGTAGATATTTCTAATGTAATGACTGACGGGTCTTCAAGGACAGAGGAGAAAAAACAAGCCTTTGTTGTAAGGTGGAAAACGACCCACAGGTATTGACAAGCTTAGCATTCCTAATATCCACAGACACACACACTAACACACACACACACACACACACACACACACACACAGGTTTTACAACCTGATGACTCAGAGAAAGCTAGCAAACTTTGATTTCCTACTTTGATGAACTTGGTTTACAGTCATGTAATAACTATAGATTTCCTCACATACAGTTAATAGCATATGCAGAGGGTT